ACCTTTATAACCATATTCCTATATTTATTTGGCTCCATCTTTGTAATACATTCCATTGGTCTTGGGTCTCCCTATTTAAACGCCTACTATTTTGTACTGAGTGTGTCCCTTCCAAGTTCGCATATTGAAATCTTAATCCTCATGTGATGGGGCAACAGGAAGTAGAGCCTTTGGGAGATCAATTAGGTTTAAATGAGGTCATGAAGGTAGAGTTCCCACAACAGGATCAGTGTCTTAATAAGAAATAGAAGTGGGACCAGCGCTTTCTCTCTCATTGAGAACACAAAGAAGAGAAAGTGCTAATACACAGCCAAATACAGGAGTCTACAAGCCAGGAAGAGGGCCCTCTCCAGAACTGAACATATCAGCATCCTGGACTTGGACTTTTTAGCTTCCGGAACTGTGAAAAACAAATTTGTGTTGACTAAGCAATCCAATCTATGACATTTTGTTATAGCAGCCCAAGCTGACTGATACCTAACAATATTTTTAAATAAAATTATCATTTCAGATGAGCAGTATGAAGTTGCTCTTGAGATCTGACATTTTTTTTTTTTTTTTGGTGCCAGGGATTGAACCCAGGGGCCCTTAATCACTGAGCCACATCCCCAGCCATTTTTATATTTTATTTAAAGACGGGGACTCATTGAATTACTTAGGGCCTCACTAAGTTGCTGAGGGTGGCTTTGAACTCGTGATCCTCCTACCTCAGCCTCCTGAGCCGCTGGGATTACAGGTGTGCGCCACCACACCCAGCAAGAACTGACTACTTTTAAATCTCCCTGTGTTTGGAAACGTGTCTTTGACACAAGTATATTGTTTTACAAACTATACCCCCAAAAGTAGAATTGCTCTACTCAGCGAAAGATGCCAGGGAGCACTTGGTGACATGACATGTCTTCTGTCTGACAGAACAGCAATAGTGATCATTATAGCATTATTACTTATACCTCTACAGGTTGTTACACACCAGAACCATTCATAGGAATAGCCAATGATTCAGCAACAAAGACCTCTGCTCAAACACCCAGAGCACTACACAACCCTTCTCCTTAAACTAAGGTGCTAACTTTCTCTAGCCAATCTGTGCTTCATACATGACACTATATCCTTTTACCTTTTAGAGGTAAAAGTCCATTCTGACTTCCCGTTTTCCCTTCATATCCTTACCTGGCCCTTGACATTTGGTGCTTGTTTTTTACCTTCCAGCTCAGAATAACTTGTCAGCTCTACATCCCAAATACATTTCAATTCCACTGTTTTCTCACTCTCTCCACTACCCACATCATGGTCTAAACCAACATCTCTATTGTGGAGCTCCCTAACTGATCTCCCTGCCTCCAGTTTTCCCCTCTCGTCCAGTCTCCATACATCAGACATGGATATTCTCAAAGTACCAATCTGATCATGCAGTTGTATTACTATAAAACCTTTCAGTGCCTTCTCATTATTAGACAACATCCTTAATAAAGCTATAAGGTCTTGGGGCTAGGGCTGTAGCTCAGTGGCAGAGCACTTGCCTGGCATGTATGAGGCAGTGGGTTTGATCCTCAGCACCACATATAAATAAATAAAAATAATAAAGGTAAATCATCAACAAATAAAAAAATTAAAAAATATAGCTATAAGGTCTTGCATGATCTGATCTTTTCTACCCTACTCTTACAATTGACTCTCCCCCCACATACACACATCCTATGTCTCAGAAACACTAGGATCCTTTCAGTTGCAAAAACTCATTTTTGCACATGCTATTCCCTTTACTTGGATTGCTTTTCCCTGTTTGCTTTACCTGTTCATCTTTCAGATCTTAGCTCAAGCTTTACTTCCTTTGTGTTTCCTGTCTTTAATCTCCTGATGCCACATCTTTTCCTTTATGGTGCTTATCTCTGTTTGTAAGTACATGTTTATTTTTATTTTTATCTAATCAATACTTGTTTCTTCTAAGCACCATAGGAACAGGAATCATGTCTTCTTTGCTTACAACTTTCCCCCAGTATCTAGCATGGCATATAGCTCAGCACAAATTAGGATGTCATAAAACATTGAATCTATTAAATCCATGTTTATTTCCAATATAACTTGCCATTAAAAAGCAATTTATTCATCAATAGTTTTGATACTCTTATATGCACATATCTCAGGTATATGCAAAGCATGGAAGGATAAGGAAAAAAGCAGGATCCAAGTGTTTCTACTGACCGCATGTGATCAATAAACTGATTTCCTAGTTGGAAATTCTGGTTGAATATATTATGTTCCCACAGAACGTGGGCCTGGTGGAATATCTAAATGATAGTAGATTAGTATTTAGCACTTTGGCTTAGTTACCAAGATACCTAAAGGTGTCCCAAGTTTTAGCCTCTCTTCCCAGCCTCCCTATCAATTTGAGTTCACCTCCTCCTTTCTCATCAAAACTGCCATTTTGTTCAGAACCACAGAACTTCTGAGATATCAAACACCCCATCTCCTCATAAAATACTGGTCTCCCTGATCCTAAAGGTCTATCATGTGGATCAGCAAACCTAAAGCAAATGGGGGAAGGCTGTGTGGATTTTTGCATTGTATATATAGAAACATTAAGCTGAGGTTGGTGGACTACAAGATAGTCCTTAGCGATCTCTGTCTCCAGATATTTGTGTCCCTTTGTAGTCTTCTCCCATATTGAATCAGAGCTGTTGTATGACTCCATTTAAGTTATAAAGGTATTACATCCTCTACCTCAGTCTGTTGGATTCCTTATACTGGGGAAGTCAGCTGCTATATCATGAGGACATTCAAACAGCACTGTGGAATGATGCCCACACTGAGAAGAACTTAGGTGCCTGGCTAATAGCTAGCACCAACTTAGCAGCCATGTGAGTGAGCTATATGGAATGTCTGCAATGCAGGTGAAATATAAGTGCAACCTCACATGAGACTCCAAGTCCAAAAACACCCTTGTGGGTCACTCCTGAATCCCAAACCCACAGAAAGCATGAAAGATAATTGATAATTATCATATTTATTGTAAGCCACAAATCTTTGGAATAATTTGCTATGCAATGTTAGATACATGCCATAAGGCAAAAGCAGGATCCCAGTGTGTCCACTGTGTCTTCTGGGTTATTGATTCTATGTACTTTCATATGTGATGTGTTTGAACTTTGGTACAGAACTCCTCTGTCTCTCCTAGCAAATACTTAAGCAAATAAACATCTATCACTAAAAAATAAATAAATAAATAAATTCTCAATTTGCAACCTTACCACCCACCCCCATACATTTTCTCTGTCTCTTTCTGTGAACCATTCTACTTAGGAAGGAATTTATGACCCGTCATCCAGGTTTTCTATGTAATATATGCATGCTTCTATACTGATCTATATATGTGCAATATAGAATAGTATTTAATAGAATCCACTCTGGAGTTGGAGTCATAGTATCTTAGTTCTAATTCCTGCTCTGCAACTTACTACCTGTACTATCTTGGGAAAGTGTCCTAACCTCCTTATACCTTGGTTTTCTCATTTCTAGAATAGAAATAACAACATCACCTTTCTCATGGGCTTGTTTCCAGTGCTCAGCAGAAGACCTGGCACAAAGGAAGCACTCAGAAAATAGTTGTTGTTGTTATCCTTATTATCACTGTACCGATCCTGTCATGTTGACTGTGTATTTTCATCTCATTCCTTCTCTAGGCTGACTATCTTCAAAGCAGGTTTTGTTTTGTTTTGTCTCGTTTGTTGGTACTGGGATTGAACCAGGGGCACTTAGCCATTGAGCCACATTCCAAGTTCTTTTTATTTTTTACATTTTGAGACAGGGTCTTGCTGAGTTGCTTAGGGTCTTGCTAAGTTACTGAGGCTCGCTTTGAACTTGTAATTCTTCCACCTCAGCCTCTGGAGCTGCTGGGGTTACAGGCATATGCCACCACACCTGGCCCAAAGCAGGGTCTTGATGCCATTTATCTATGTCTCTTCAATTACCTAACACCACCTAGAACATAGTGGGAGACTAACATAGGTGTGTCTTTTGAGGGTTGCCTCTAAAGAGGTGTAGGCAATTTGAAGGCAAGACTTGAGTCACAGGGACATAGAACAAAGATACTATTTGTAATCCAAGAAGGAAGCCAAAGAAAATGCAGGGCAGAGCCACAAATTGGGGCAAAAGGTAAGGCAGGAGGTTACCCTGGTACCCAGAGGGTGGGACAGTCCTGACAACATTGCCCAGATCATTGCATAAGGGATTCTACTTGCCTTTTAATGCAGTGAGTGCCTGTTTTCCTGCTCACTTCTCAGTATGTGGTAGAATCTTCTGAATTTTAAAACCCCTCTCTTAAAAGATTGAAGCCTTAGATAAGTCTCTTTAACATCCTAAGCCTTAGTTTCCCCATTTGTAGATCATGATAAAAATCATCATATTGAAGAGTCAGAAATGCAGAGAATTAAATGTGATCCAACTGGTAAATTGCTTAGTGCTTAGCACTAGAAAGAGCCCAGTAAATGTGGGCCACTCTTGGCTTGGTGGAAAAGTCTCAGTGAATACAGCCTTTCATTTTCTGGTGTCTCAATGCCAAAGAATTTCGATAATTCTCAAGCTTTTCTGCCTCATTTGCAGAAAGAACCAAGGAGTGCATGCATACACACACACACACACACACACACACACACACACACACACACACACACACCCTTCCTTCTGGAAGAGGTTAACTATTGTGACCGGTACAATTAGCCCCTTTCCATCTGATAACAACCCCATCTAAGGAATTCACAACCGTTAATTAGAGGCACCCGGCAATCTTGTGAGGGAGGAAAATTATCGCTCCGACTCTACACGCATCTGAACCAAGTTGCTCTGGGGTAACCTCAGTCACAGAGCCCGGGCCGAGCAGGGACAGAACAGGATGGAGCCTGCCAGCCCCTGGCCCCTGCACACCGCCTCTTCCCTCTTCCAGGGCTCCAGGGGGCTGACTGGAGGCCCTGCAGTTGTAAGTTCATTATTAAATCATTTCTCACCGAAAGAAGAAAAGGACTCGAAGCTCCACACACAGTGGTTTTTAAAATGCTAGTCTCTCTTCAATAGAAATTGAATTCACTGATGTAGCCCAGGGAAAAGCGAGCTCCTTCCTCCCCTCCAAATGATTCTTTCAGGGTAATATAGCAGTTAAACCTTCAGGTACATAATAGCACGCCGGTCTATTAGCTAAGGCGATTTTATTCTTCAGCTTGCAGCTTCTTGCCTGACAGTTGTCACCTAGACAACCATGTCTCCATGAACTCAAGAGGAGACTGGGGGTGGGAGGGTGGGGGGGGGTGTCCTCTGAGGAGACAGCCAGCCAGATACATCAAATCTTCTGGTGCGAAGGAACCATTCTTGGCTTTGCGATGTGGAACACACTAAATAATGCATTCAACTGTTGTCTATTCATCTTTTCCATCACCACCACCGCAGGCCCCTGCTTGCCTGTGACCTTGAAACGCTCCCTCAGCTTCAGGCCTTCCCATTCTCCTGTTATCAGCAAATCTGGTTTGGTGTGAGTGTGTGTGTGTGTGTGTGTGTGTGTGTGTGTGTGTGTTTAACAACTTTCCAAACTTGCAGCTCCCTGGCTCTGCTTTTTTTTTTATTCTGAAACAAAAGAACTGCAAAGGCAGAAAGTTCTCTGTCCCTGATGTGTAAGGAGACTCTAATCAGACAAGCCCTGGCAGGCTCTGGTGACTTAATGAGGAAATGCCATCCTGGTCTGTCCCTGCATGGTAATAGCTGAGCCCCAATGTAGGAAGGGAGAGTCACTTCTGCAAACACAACAAACACCATCAGGTTAGAGGAATTGAGGAGCAAAGAGAGAAGAGTGGCCATTGCAGGACAAAGGGCCAAAGTTGCATTAGTCTTACACCAGTTATCAGTGTGGCCTATGGATTTAGAATGTCAATCACCAACGGGGGTCCATCCTAGGCTTACAATCAGAAAGTTGGAAAGACCTGTGATAACAGCTGTGAGATTCAAAGTGAGGTCTGCATACTTTGAATGTTATGTGTGTGGTGAGTTACTCACAAAATATGCATGTTTGTGATTGCTAGGGTATGCATTTAACTCTGTACACTTACAGTCATTCTTCGTGCTACAATTATCAAGTGTCCATGTATTGTCCTGAGCTCTCTCCAAGCCTCTGGAGTTATGGCACTGAATAAATCAAGCAAAATCCCTGCCCTCATGGAGCTTACACAGCAGTAGAAGAAATGTTACTAAACATTATTTTGAACTCATCCAAGTGTCAGTTGAATATTTCCTGGGGAGGTGCTTGCAAGATGAGAAGTGTGGGAAAGGCAGATCGTTTGTTTCAACACAACACTCCATCCCAAACATCACACATGCCAAACAAAGCAAGCTGTCCTGTCAGTTTCTAATCCAAGCCCTCATGGCTACCAAGTCTTCCCAGGATAGACCTTGTCCTTCTCATACAGCTACAGTGCCCACATCATGTGCCAGGGTTCCTCTTCATGGGGAATCACTCAAATGGTGTTCTGAGGCTAGCTCAGATTGGTGCACAAGGGCTGACGTGCACACAGAGTTCACGTTTAGTGACATCATGCTGGTAGCTTGGAATGAGTCATGGTGGAAATATCTAAACCATAGAAATCAGCAACAACAACAACAAAAGTTGTTTAAAGGCCCATTTCTCAGCCCATTACTATAGTTTTTCATGATCCAGAGTTTCCCTTTCCATGATTTCACTTACCCACATTCAACTACAGACTGAAACTATTAAGTGGAAAATTCCAGAAATAAACAATTCACAAGTTTTACTTTGCACACAATTATAAGTAGCATGATGAGACCTCTGTTCCATCCAGGATATGAATCACCCTTTTGTCCAATGTGTATCCATGCTGTACATACTGTTTCTGCTAGTCATTTAGTAGCTGTCTCAGTTATCAGACTATCACAGTATCACAGTGCTTGTATTCAAATAACCTTTTTTTTTAATTAATAGTGACCTCAAAGTACAAGGGGAATGAAGCTGGCAATTTGGAAATGTCAAATAGAACCTGCAAAGTGCTTCTTTGAAGCAGAAAGTTAAAAGTACTATATGATTTGTTGAGACAAAGAGAGAATATTCACATAACTTTTATCTCTATATATTGTTAGAATCACTCTATTTTATGTTTAGTCATGGTTTTTAATCTCTTACTTACCTAATTTATAAATTAAACTTTGTCATAAGTGTGTATGTATAGGGAAAAACATAGTTCAGTTTTAGTACTATCCATGGTTTTAGGCATCCTCTAGGAATCTTGAAATGTATTCCCAGGTGATAATGGGGAACAACTATACTAGAATCATCCCTCTTTCCAGTCCAGTAATTCTGCTTCTTTGGTGGGATGTTTGGGTAGGATAACAGCATCCTCTGTAATCGAACAATTCTAGTGCTTTATTCTCTCAGCCACACTAGTTGGAACAGGGATAGGCTTATGACCCACAAGAAGACAATCAAAGCCTTCCCTAACAAGTTTTTTTAATTTCATACTTTAAAAAAAATTAACTGATAAATAAAAATTATACACATTTATCATGTACAACATGTTTTAAATACATATACACTGTGGAATGATAACTTTCCTAAGTTCATATATGAATATATGACCCGTGAAACTCCACAGCATGCACAACCACAAGAATGGGGTCCTAATTAGAATAAGCTATACTCCATGTATGTTTAATATGTCAAAGTACGCTCTACTGTCATGTAAATCTAAAAAGAATAAATAAAAATTAGATAAAAGGCTCCTGTAGAGCCAATGGTTCAAATCCACATTCATATGCTGAAGAATCTGAAATTTGATGTCCATAGATGATACCATCAGATAAAGCTCCCCTTAAATTACTTGTTTTTTCTCAAGCTAGGTTGAATTGGGATTTTTATAATTGGCAACTAAAAGAATTCTAATTATTATATATCATCTTTCCTCATATCTTCCTTCTTAACAAACTGGTTTGGCTTTTAAACAGAGAGCAGTGGATGATGTGAGCACCCTGTCCATATCCCCTTGATACTCACTGTCCCTATGTGGCCTAACACATTCTTACTGTAAACAAATGAGATATTCTCGGGCCACAGGTGGTAGAGGCCAGAATTTTAGTGAGTTAACATATGTAGAGGTAACTCTAAATCAATTATAGGACATGGTGAATAAATAGTATAGCTTTCCCATCCCTCCAATAAGACTTGAAGTATGTTCCATACTATCTACCTGAGGTCCCCAGCAGAATTTCAGTTTCCACCCACAATGGTAACCTGGTTTTGTTGTTCTTTTTAGATATATATGACAGTAGAGTGTATTTTGACACAATGGAATATTACTCAGCCATAAAAAAGAATGTTTTATGACTTTTGTGGGTAAACAGGTGGATCTGGAGACTATTATGCTAAGTGAAATAAGCCAATCCCCCCAAAAAATCAAAGACCAAATATTCTCTCTGATATGCAGATGGTAACCTGTTTTGACACTGAATTGATTTTCTTCTCTTTTCTAGAATCACTTCTACACTCTATAATGATGCCTTATTTGTTTTCAGTACTGATGAAACCCAGGGCCTTGCACATGCTAGGCAAGTGATCCACTACTGAGCTACATCCCCAGCCCACCCTAATGAGCTCTCTCAAATGAGCTACTTATAGCCAAATACTTGCTACAGGGTCCATTTCTGGGGGAGTCCAAATGTGTTAGTTAACTAACACATTTGCTGTGACCTGACATAAACAACTTAAAGGAGGCAAGATTTATTTTGGTCATCAGTTTTTGGTCCACAGTTGGCTGGCTCCATTCCTCTGGGCCTGAGGAGAGGCAAAAACATCATGGAGGAAGGGTGTGGAGAAGGAAAGCAGTCAGCTCATGGCAGCCAGAAAGCAGAGAGAGAGGAGAAGGACTGGGGACAAGAAATACACTTCTAGGGCACACCTCCAATGATCTATTTCCTCCAACTAGGTCTCACTTCCCATTAGTCTATGCAGACATCAATGGATTAGTCTACTGATGAGGTTGGAGCCCTGATGATCCAGTCTCTGAACATTGCTACACTGGGGACCAAGCCTTCAACACATGTCCCTTTGGGGGACCCTACATAACTACATCATAAAACCAACCTAGAGAAACAGTTGCCAAAAGCATGATTCCTACAACCCAGACCATCTTGTTCTTCCCTTTCTAATATGCTTTTTTTTTGTGGTTTCTCAGCCAAAGTTGTGCTTCATGTTACCTAATGCCTAACTTCAATATTGATATGCAAATGAGGAAAGAAAATGGCTACTCAGAACTGAAAATGGGAGTCCCATTTCTACTTTTTGGCCATAATCACAAATTCTAATTTGGATTAGTCCTACATTTGACTTCAGCTATGAAATACAAAAATCTGAACACACCCAGAGGTTTTTCCTTGGGACATCAGTGAATGTGGAGGGAAGTTTTTAGTGGTTTTCTCTTGTGAGAAAGTCAGCCTGAGCAGCTGAAGGTGCTTGCACATTCAAACACCTCCCTGGCTTGCACCTGATTTGTTTACACTTACCACAGGCTGAAAGGCCAACTTAGCTAAGAGGTCCATAATTGTCAAAGGAGTTGGAGAGACCACCTCTCTGGGTGGGTGAAACTTTGGAGGGCGCATGCTCATAAAATCAGCCAGCCAGTGAGAACAACGCCCATTCTTCCCAGGAAATGGGCAGGGAAAATACCTGTTCCAGGCATTAGGTTGCCAAGCTTTAGCAACTCCTGACACCTAGATACCTGTATTTTTCCAAAGCCTTGGTCTGGGAGCGATTTCCTAACACTTTATAGCTCCTTTGGATGGCTAAGCCTCTGACTTCACAGTAAGTAGGTAGAAAGGGAGTAATTAAATGAATTTAAGTGAAAGACTTTGCAATACCAGATGAAAAGAGTCCAAATCTAAATGGCTGTGGCTAATGCTTCCAGGAATAGGGGATCTTTAAGGAGCAAATTTCAGATGAGTGGTATGGCATAGGGGAAAACCCAAACTTAGAGTGTGAGTACCTATGTGTGAATCCCAGTTCCATCAATGTCAAACTGGCTAATAGCATGCATAGTGATTATATATACAGACTCCTAAGCTAGGCTGCTTGGGTTTGAATCCAAGTGCCACTACTAACTAACTGCATGATCTCAAGCAAGTTAAATAAC